ATTGCAAAATCACTTATTCTATTTCATTTACTTTAGATGTTCGACAAGATGGGTTTTCAGTTACTTTACGAACTCAAAGATGCTGAATATTTGGACGAAAAAGGTAAATGTATATTTAATTGCTCTGACCAAACAAATTCTTCAAAGCTGCTATATTTGCCGTTGTGACATTCAGTTGGTTACACAGCAATGAATCAATGGGGACTATTTAGAACCTTATGAAACTGTTAATTTAAAAGCCATTTATTTGTTTATACATGTAAGCAGACTAATATACGTTGATCCCTACACTGCTGGATCTGTTATTTGTTCTTAATTAATTTTTTATCGTCTGCTAGCTAGCATTTATATCAAATTGTCCCCACAGAAAACCGGTTATCCTTTAAGTATCCCCCCCCCAAAAAAAAGAGAAACTATACTTCATCCTTCAAAGCCTTGATTGGTGACCAGTAAATGTTTAGCAACAATTCGTAGATGACAGAAAATGTATCTACAGATTGAATAGCTCAATAATTAAGATTGCTAAAACACTAAAACATAAATTTATGTTAATATAGTTTCTGAAAAAAATGAGTTGCTGACTTCCTCTGCCACTACCCAAAAAAGGTCAAATATTTGAGATATTGCTAGAAAAACAAAACTTTTAATCGCCATGTGACCATTTTCAATAACAAAATTCCAAATCTTTGCCAATAGCTTTGTTTCACTTATTTTTCTCGTAGGTTAGTCATTTTGCCAAATTTTGCCATAATTATTTTGCTACTTTTTTCTCGAGCAATCACTTACGTTTCGTTCTCTGTTCATTTGTAAATATTTAGACTCTATATAGTCGATTTTTTACAGATTGAATAATGGTGATACCAAAATTAGTGTTTCTGTCCTTTCTAAGAGAAATGAATAAATAAAGAATAAAAGACTGTGGAAACTTCAGTTAACTTGATTTGAAACTTAAACATCATCAAGGTCTGATTGGCGTACTGTTGACTCAGTATACCAAAGGTTATCTAACCTCCAACTAATGACAGTACTATAACAGTAATTTATTTTAATGCAAAATAATAGTTCCCTGCCCTATAAATGGACTGCTCAAATCAGGACATTGCCAGTCTATTTACGACAACTCTTTCGCAATATTGATGATTTTACATAATACCTAGGCAAAAATTTTTTTCTAAATCGGCTTGCCAACCAAAATAATCCATATACGTCCTGTTTCATTAGAAAAAACGAGTGTTATTTGCCTACGCAATGACTTGTAAATTACTACTCTAGTTTCAGAATTCGATTCTGAATATACCAATAACTTTTCGTATTCATTTTAAAAGGCGTAAGCGATAAATCGCTGGAATCCGTGTAGCTTCCTTGTGAGACATTTCATCCTGAGAACAGAAAATTCTGTGCAGTCAAACACCAAAATTCGTAAACCAGATTCATCACTCACAATTTTTTTTATCATACTATCGACAGATATCCCTGTGTAGCAAACAGCAGTGTAAAGCTGATAAATGCAAGGACTCACCAAGTCACAGCAGACGAAACATATTCGCTTAATAGAAATCAGATATAAGGTCCAAAATGTGATCTATTTGTAGACCTCGGTGTTAACTGTAAAAAAGAAAACAACGGACCACGATCACCGAAGAGAAAAAGAATTCAAACGTCACTCGTATCTTTCTGTACCCAATCCATCATTATTGCTATCAAAAAGTCACTAAACCTTTTGAGATGTGGCCTACTACATGGAATAAAACTGTAGAATTTCAGATGGTCAATTGAACAAACTTCTACTCCACTCCTTTTCAGTCAAATATTATAAAGTTCATCCGTCAAACAACTTTCCCTGCGAGGATAAACAAAATTTGAAGTCGAATTCCAAACGTGCCATTGATTTTCTATTTTAAACAGACACAAGCAAACAGAAATTGTAGAAAGTCTACCAAAACTATAGTTCAGTCTGTGTGACTTCAACAATAAAGTCCCTGAGTAACTCTGTTACCCCCGACTAACATCAAACAACCTGCACAAAGTTGTAACAGAAAGCTGTTGCCCGACAGCAATGATTCCTGTATATAATGTACATTTTCAAATAACGTCTTTAACTATAATTTCCCCACCACATCAGCCTCGTAGTTTATACCTCAGTTGAGTGCACAAATAATGAAACTATATGATCCCATAATCAGGCAAAATTTAAATTAGTGACACGATTTGACAGCAACAAAACCCTGAAAAAGATACTAAACTGTTCCAGAACGGTAAAAACCTGCTTTGTTTTTTGGCACCCGTACCATTCATTTTCGAAACTTTCCTTACAGATCTATTATGCCACTAAATCTGATCGAATAATTACTACGTCAAATTTCACTGTATTTTTTGGCTTCCCAATGGCCGTTTCAAGGTAATCGTAATCAAACGATTGGTAATCCCTGTCTGACCAGAAAAATCTGTACCGACACTAACAAATCTTTCTTATCCATTTTTTCTTTTTCTTTTACTTCCTGTTATTGTTTTTTCTCCTGCATCATTATCACACATTCCAGCGGCTATTTCCCCACAAGACATACTTTGTTTTATCTTCCAATTTTGAACTTTTCTAATGAAACTAAAAATATAAAGAGGAGAAGAGAGCGAGCCACAAAAAAAAAAAAACAGTAAACCGAGTTTTTAATTACAATAACCACAAAGTAATTAGTGCAAAATTATTTGCAATATGTACATCCCAATATTCCAGAAGAGGATGTTTAAAATAGCAGTTGAGCTGACCGTTTAATCCCCAATTTTTTGTTCATCAACAACCAGTAGCTTTCCAGTTAATTTATTCATTCTGCATCAAGAAAAAAAGTTTCTGAAATGTTGGATGACAGAAAACATAAGGTATACAGTGTGTTGACAAGTTTAATAGAAAAGAAAAAAGATGAAAACCAAAAACAATAGCAAATAATGACCCGAACTAAAGTGTGTATTAAAAAGATTGGTGCTCAACAACAGAAAAAAATGGAACGTGTTCCTTCTATTTTGGCTTATATTTTTCAGCAGGACATATACAGTAAACTCTAAAATCAGAGATAACAGAATAAAAAAAAAATCAAAGATACATAAATATAAAAGGTAAAATAAAGTAAACAAAGGAAAAAAAGCTAAGTGAAAAGTAGAAGAAAAACAATAGTAAAGTGAGTGATAAATCACAACTTGTAGAAACCTAAGAATTCTAAGATGACTGCAGAAGCAGATACATACCATTGGTACAAAGATCAAAAAAGGTTGATGGACAATTTTCAGTATCTATTTGTCAAAAACCCGGTAATATTGAATGAAACAAAAAAAAATTGTTTTACTTTTCTGAAAATGACAACAGAAAAAAAAGCTAAGATAAAACAAAAAGGAGAGCAAGAAAAATGGAAGAGGAGGAAAAAAATTGAAAGAAAATGATATGACCATAATCAAGTGGAATTAAAGTGATCAACAGAGAGAGGTCGAATAATCATCATAATTTGCCCATCTTTAAAAATAGTGCTTTTTTTTTCTTTGTGCAGGCCATCACAAAATTAACAACAAACAACGACTTATCAGTAGATATAGGTGTCTAAACAGGAAACAAGAAAAGAAGGAAAAAAACAAGACAGAAACTAAACGACAGTAAATTTCTAATAATGACTCCTAAAATTCTAGCTTTTTCTTTTTTTGTTGTTGTTTATTTTTTGCTCTCAAAAATATTTCCAAAAAAAAATATATATATATATATATATACCGCAACAATATAAACCAAAATGAGCAAACACCAATAGATGCTTTGTTCATTGAGCTAATTTAAAACACACAGGATTCATCAGAATTCTTGCTCCTGTACAACAGGTAATACATATTTCAAATGGCTACACACAGTTACACAAACGCACATCTGAATACACATTCACACAGAAACATATACCCAAACACACACACACACACACACACACACACATTCACCACACATCTAAACAGTGTAAGTTCACACAGACGCGTACAAATGATTCAATGAGCACCATTTAGAAAAAAAAAAAGAAGAGAAAAATGCAAATAACTGTAAAATATACAGATTTGAAGAGTATAGGCAATGATCAGTATTTGAAATTAATACAGAAAGAAAAAAAAGAAAAGAAATGACGAGAAAGTTAATTCCAAACAAACAAAATTTCTTTTTCAACCCAAAGAGATCTGAAAATGTCAAAGTCTTCCTTTTTTTTTTCTTTGCTTTTAGATCGGCGTTAACCTATAAACTCTAAAACGTTTACAAAACAACATTACCTATACCGTTCACACATCGTTCCACACTCCATACAATACTAAAATCATTCTGTATGCAGCACAAATAAATCGAAAGAAAAAAATAATGAAAACAAACAGAGAAGAAAAACAGAAAAACAATGTCAGTAATTGATGGCAACATTCATCATCATTGATACATTAAATTTTTCAACAAATTTTTCAAATAAAATCCGCACAGAGAGACAAACAGAAGTGAAGAAGACGAATAGAAAAAGGTGAAAAAAAATATTCCCATACATATCCATACACACATATATATACATCAAATAACGTCCCGTAATTCAATCGAAATTCTTATGATACTCATGCAAAATAAAAAAGATTTTTGACACACTGTTAAGACAGCTCAAAAATTAGTCGGAAAAATAGCAAAGAGAAAGAGAAAAAAAGCAAAAAAAAAGAGTAGAAAAAAACAAAACAAAAACAAACAATGGAGTACTATCACATATCCGTCAGATAAATTACAGATAAAAAATTTCTTCTATTCGTCAAATTTGATTCTCAACTAAATCAAACGCGATTTTTGCAAATATATTGCTAGCAAAGAATAAACAAAACGATACTGTTCCACAGTTTTTACCAAACACATTCGCTGTTGCCTTAACATCCTCAAAGCTTTGCTTATATCCACATTCTGAAAACGACAAACAATTGTCTTCCAAGTTGATAAATTTTGTAAATTTACAAAAAAACCACTTTACTTACACTTATTTCAAGAGTTATAACTTAAAATCGTTGCAAACAGAAAAAAAACAATTTGCCGTCATGTTAAACACATACCAAATTATGTTCGATACAATGTATCATCAGTTCAGCAAGTAGGTAAACCCCAGATTCGTGTGCACCAGAAAAACAGTGAATTACTGTCGGTGGACTTTCACTAGATATTGCCGCATTGATTCCAGCCGACGAACATTCCGAAGACGCTTCAGACTGGCTGAAAATCATAATAATCTTTAAAATTTGTTTGAATTGTCGACTTAAAAATACCAAACTAAAAATCCGTACTCTGAAAAGTGCAAAAAAAAGCATTGCATGCTTACCTTGGTGAATTTACACTATAACCAGTGTTAACAAACTGCAACCTTTTCTTCCAAGAACCACCTTCAGTAGACTGAGATCTATTACGATTTGTAACATCTGTTAAATTTGCCTAAAATGCAAGATTTCAACAACAGCTGAAAGCAGTCAACAAGAATAATTTAACTCCAAAAGTTATATTAAGCAAAATACTTTTGAGTTTATTTACCCGACTAGTGCTCCTGCTTCGTTGTTTTGAACTACTGGACATCATTACAACTCCAGAGTCAGACTCCTTCAAACGTTCATTGTCCAAATGCCTTTTCACACTGTTTACAGCATCAATAAAACCTAAAAGAGTCTAATTTTATAAGTATCATCAACTGTGATAAACACTATAATAACATCAAAATCATCAACGAAAGAAGGAATAGAAAAAGCATCAGAAAATTCAAGAGGCTTGTTAATTACCTAACAACGCTTCTTCGCTTGGCGGTATGCTTCCAGTGTTCCAGTCGTGGAATCTTAGATGATAAATCGTTCGCTTTTCACCGCTCGATATACACTTCAAGTGTAAAACTGAAGTGGTTTGGTATTGGCTCGGAGTGCTTTTAATTAAGGTTACCGTAAAGTCATTCATCCGAACCTTGCTCTTCTCTTTTATTGGCCAATAGTAAGGCGCAATTGATGGCTTCTCCTATAAAAAAATTGCGAAACTATCAAGAAAGTCCCAAAAAAATTTTTGCTAAGTCAATCACTGTTACCGAGAGGTATTCATACCTGAGCATCGCAAAGCATAACAATTAACTGAGCCCCTGACTCCCAAACCATTTGCCAAAAATCTTCGATAGTATCACGCATTGGAGCTTGTGCTACGATATAGCGTAAAAGGCGATCACCGAGTGGAATCTTTAAAACAGCAGTTGAATGCAACACTAATAAAAAGTCCAAATAAATGTATGAATTAAGTTTAAGCATTATAGAAAATGGCATTGAAATATGAAATTAATAGACAAAATCGATTACCTGAACGTTCGAAGCGTTAATATATCCAGTACGGTTGTACTTGTTCGGATGCAACATTACCCGAGTATCTTCGTAAGGAACAATAGAGCGAGTTCTATTTTTTTTCTGAAAAATCGACAACAGTAAATACTAAATAAAAACTGATTTAATAACGTTAATATAATCTCAAAAAATTCATGCTAATTCTGAACGAAATGTTATTTTACAGGTAAAGTGCGAGAGAATTTAAAGAAAACCATATTATCCGGTTTTTGACTTGTTGACACGCCAGCAGACATTCGTTTGTTCGGAATTACTGCAAATTCATCATCCAAAGCATCTGGAGTATTCAATTTGAGCAGAAGTTTCGAAAGCTGAAAAAAGAAAAGATAAAAATGTCGAGAAGCATTGATAATGGTAAGAAGCACTTAGAAGCTATAATACGACATTTCAACAGCAAAACCTATGCAGAAGCTATCATTTTTACCGTTTCATCGTTTGTTGATAAGGCTGAGGCTTCGGCAACACCCAGAAGCGGCCGTTTCGAGTTCTGCTCAACAATACCGTTCAGGAGGACGTGACGAGTTTGGGATATCCGCATTTTTTCACCTTTGTCGTCGTTTTTACCGTCACTGTTACTGCTTTCTTTGGTGCCACTACCGGGTTTTTTATGGAAAAATTGCTCTGTTGAAACCAATGTTGCCTAAAATACTTTGGACACTGCTAAAATGATTTTTAGTGGATAAAAACTGTTGAAAAAGAAGAGGGAAAAATCCTTTGTTCCTTTTTTTTTTTCTTCTTCTCAAACAATTCAAATAGTCATATGGAAAAGGTGAAATAAATAGATCTCAAGTGGACAATAATTTATCTTTGCACACAATTGAGGTGGCAAATTACACAACCTTAAAACTCAAGAAAAAAAAAACCTTTGAAAATCAGAAGACAAAGGTACAAAAAAAAACATACAAAACAAAAAGAGAGAAGAACCATTAATACGATCGATAAAAAAAAAATTAGAGAAAAAAAAAGAGTAAAAATTAATTTTTCAACTTTGCAACAAAAAAAAAATATTTTTAAAAGAATTAATTTTAATACACAGCTATCGAATATTTTATGAGCACTACAACTGGGACAACTTC